AGTTAAACATGCATATTTAATTTAACTTTTTTAAAAAGGAAAATGATACAGCTAAAATCCTATTGAGGAATTTATTCTGAAGATATATTTAATTAACCCAAAAAAAGGAAGGAAAGGAGGAATAAAAATCAGACAAATAGAAAACAAATAGCAAAACAGAAGACCTAAATCCAACCATTTCAATAATTACATTAAATATAAATGTAATAAGCTTTCCAGTTAAGAGGAAAAGACTTTCAGATTGGATAGAAAATCAAGACCCAACTATATGCTATATATGAGGGAAGCACTTTAAATACAAAGACATAAATTGATTGAAAGTAAAAGGATTTAAAAATATATACTGTTCAAGCAGCATAAGAAAGTGGGAGTGGCTATAATAATATCAGACAAAATAGATGTCAAGAAAAGGATAATTGTTAAAGATAAAGAGGGACATTTCATATTGATAAACAGGTCAGCACATCAGGAATATATAGCAACTATATGTATGTATGCATATAATAACAGAGCTTCAAAAATGCATGAAGCAAAAACTGACAGAATTATTGGGGAAAATAGACAATTCTACGATTATAATTTGAGATTTTAACACTCTCGGTAATTGGATAGAACAACTGAATAAAAAAAAAAATCCTTTGGTATATAGATGTGAACAACACTAACAAAAACTTTAACTTAATTGACTTTTGTAAAACACCACATCCATACATGCAGATGCCAAGATGAGGGGGGAAGAAAAGAAAAAATACCACATCCAACCACTGCATAATACATTCTTTTTCCCTTTTTTAAACATTCATTTTCAAATACAAAATGAACATTGACCAAGAAAGAACATATTTTAACTGTATTAAAATACACTCCCAGCTGACAGATGAAATGGACTCCCTATGGCTAAAACAAGGCACCAGAAACAGAATCAAGAGGCCATAGCAGGGAGAGGCGTTGGTCACATACCTCTGTATTAGTAACTGCCATAAAGTTTCTTTTCTGTAACTGAGAAGAAACTAGC